AGGGGATGCTGGGTTTCCCAGGCAGCCCTCAGGAACCCCAAGTGGAAGTGTGTACAAATGGCAGTGCCAGGATACGATGCCCGTAATCCCCATATCATAAATTCCACAAATCCCACACCAAAGTACCAACCTGTGAAGGCTGCACAACTAACTTAGTGTGACTCGGGGTACCCCCCACCCAACTCCAAAGCATAAAACTCAAGTCCATGCAGTTTCACTGTCACAGAATCCCAGGGATATGCAACCTCAGGGACACACAGCCCCAGCATTCACAACCCCGCTGATGCATGCACAACCAACCCCCTTAGAACAGACTCCTAGCGATAGACAAAACAGTGACATGTAATCCTTCTGCCCCACACGTTTCCCCACCCTATCATGCATGAGCTCACTAGCGGAGTTCATGTTGGTCCAGTCCTACCTCAGATTTTTTTCCTCTGGACACGCACCCCAGTCATCTTAAGATCCCATTAAACTAAACAATTCAGTGAAGGGCTGGGTCATATGTGTGTGTGTGTGTGTGTGTGTGTGTGTGTGTGTCCCCTCCCCTGCTCTGCTGCAAGCTTCTTCCCTGTATCCCTGTGAGGTGTCTTACCTCTCGCCTGCCTGCTTGAAGCCCCCTCCTCTGCCCTCAATGAGAAGCCCTGCCTCCTCTTCCACCATGGGGAGGGTCCATGATGCTCATCTTTCCTCTTGCCAACCCCTCCACCTCTACCCCCTCGGTAAGAACCCTATTCCCACTCTGTCAGGGGCACTGCCCTTTAACCCCCTTTTTTTGGGGGATCCAGCTCCCTCCACCTGTGAGGAGCCCTTCCCCTCCCCACCTCTGTAAAGCTCCTATCCCACTTCGCTCACTTTTTGAGGGTTCCAGCCCCTTCCTCCCTTCCTCATACCTGGCGACAGCGACCCAGCCACCAGCTGGTAGAGGGACCGCGCTGCCTGCCCCAACGGGCTCCTGCACCTGCGGGGGCAGCGGTTCATGATTCCGCCGGGAGCACAGTGGCCAAGCTCCGCCCCCGCGGCCCCGGGGGGTCGGTCTCCGCCCTGTGGGCCCCGCGTGGGCGGCGCGGGAGGGCCGACCGGCCCCGCAGGACCAGGACCTCCGTCCGCACAGCCTCATCCACTCCAGGTCTTCTCCGCACCGCAGGAGGGAGCTCGCCTTCGCCCCACATCAGAGCACTGAACCCCAAAGTTCCCAGACTGGAGCGGAGGGACGGGGGGCGGGGAGAGGGGGCGGGACAGAGAGGACTCCTCATAGCCTTCTTTGGGAACATTTTCTGGGTGTCTGTTGGGGAAGAGCGCTCCCACGGCTTTTGAAAAAGGAGTTGGGGGGTAAATGAAATCTTTTAGCGCCCTTCCTCGGCCATCCCTCTGCTGGTCACACCCTCCTCTCTGCATTTTGGCAGAGATATGAAGGGGTAAGAGGTGAGAGGATACTGTTGTCATGGCAACTTCCCACACTTGCATACTTCCTGGACCAATGGGGGGGGGGGGAGCAGAAGGGAGGAGGAGGAACTGGCTAGTGTACTGGGCAGAGAAGAGGTGGCAGAGATGTGCCCCTACTGATCTTCCTCCTGGCTCCAAATTCCTTTCCCTCATAGCTGTTTGTTTTGTGTCCCTCTGTCCCAGCAGGTTCAGATTCTCCCATTATACACTGACTGCCAGCCAAATGCATTGGGAGAAGCCACCCTCTCTATAAAAAAAATATATTTTTTATTGATTTCAGAGAGGCAGGGAGCAAGAGATAGAAACATCAATGATGAGATATGATAGATCCTCCCTTCCTCCAGTTGATGGACAGACCTAAACCCCACCTGTGGCCAGACATTCCTGAGCTCTGAACCACCCATCAGTACCTGCCAAATACCCTAAGCCCCCATTCCTAAGTCCCTAGGTCCCTAATCACCAACCAGCGTGTGCTGAGTGCCCTAAGCCCCGTTCCCTATCCTTAAAGGTGCTTGTACCCCCGACACTCCCTCTCTTCCACCCCTCTCTGTGGAAGCAGCCGGCAGGGGTACTCTTCCCTCCAATAAAGCCTGTGTGTGTCCTGCCATCGCCGTCTCCGGTCCCCTTCTCTATTTAATCTATGAAGATAGAATCATGGATTGGCTGCCTCCTGCACATCCCCTACTGGGGATCGAGCCTGCAACTGGGGCCTGTGCCCTGACAGAGAATTGAAGAGTGACCTCCTGGGTCGTAGGTCCACGCTCAACCCTGAGCCACCCCAGCAGAGGGAGACGCCCTCCCCCCACCCCCACCCCCCTTCTCGGTCCGAGCCCTGACCTCTTTCCTGAATTCATTCCCATCCGGCTTTACCCAGAGTAAACCCTTTTCATTACCCACTATGCTTTCAAACTGCTGGGACAGAAGGGACATAATTCCACTCCTCTCGACTGGCATTCCGTATTTCTGTTTGAAAATCTTACGTTTACAAAGCAAGAGTCGCCGCCCAACTCCCTGCAAAGCTTGCCCTTTGATTGGGAACATCCTCCTCCAGAATCAGCTCCGCAGGCACAGCTCCTTTAGTACCACACGGGGGCGCCCCAGTCCGGGGAACAATCTTCATGGCCAGAAGGACGCGATTCCAGAGATCCCAGGCCTTGGCCAGCCAGGTGCGTATTCTCTCATCTCCTCCAGTCCCTCCTTTGTTTCCAGCTGGGAGAGGCCCGCCAGTGACCACTGACTTTTCCCACCCGCCGCACTGCCAAGCGGCCCTGCCAGGCTGGGAAGACCAGGGGTGTTAGATGCGGGCGCGGTGACTCTCGGATCCCCCCTCCCCCCAATAAAAGTCTTCTCGGTGGGCACAGGGAGGTTACCTTGGGAGGTGGCCCGGCCGCCCCTCTCCCCTGAACGCTCTTCAGTACCGTGGACAACGCCTCCCGGCAGGTTTCTGCTCTGGCATCTCTGAGCGCCCAGCGCTCAAACACAGGGGGCATTTCAGCCCCATTTGTCTTCCGCTATAAAATAAGCCCTCCTTGGAAAGGAGATATCCTGGTAGACCTACTTCTCTTTCAAAGCCGTGTGTAGACCTTTCTACAGAGAGGATGCTCATGACACAGAACATGATTCGTCATGCTGGCCAACATTTGACCTTTCTCTTTCCCTTGGGAGGCAGGCGAGTGTATTCCCCATTTCACAGATGAGCAAAGTGAGGCTCAGAGAGAGAAAAAGTCATCCTGGTATTCACGTTTCCATTCCTGCACCTTCTAATAAAAATGCTTCCCCTCCTTCACCCAACCGATCTCTGATTATTCAAACAGCCAAGTGAAGAGGGGATGATTCCATTATAGGGAGAATCGATCAAAGCAGTAAGCAAACACTGACTAATGTGGTGCTAATAAGTGCCCTGGACCCTTACTGCTCTCAAGGATTCCGGTTGAGGACAGTACAGAGCAGAAATGGACAGCTGGACCTTTGGATTCCATCCAGATTGAGGCACAGCTAGGGCACATCAGGGGCCTGCCTGGATGGAAGGGCTTCCATTCCGGGGGTCTGAGCATAGGAACTAGGCCCTCCGCAGGCTCAGTGAGTCAGAAAGACACTTTCCAAAGGCATTACTTCTAGTCCTCTGCCCCATCCCCAAGTCTTAACCTCATTTCCTTCAGGACAGACAGGATCACAGCCTCCCTCCACCTCCCCAGCTGGCTTCACACACAGGAGGCGCTCTCCCTCCTCCATCTTCTGTGTAGAGTTTTTGAGCAGGCTGCACACTGAGAGACAGGAACACACACGTACATGGAAATGTACACAAGGTGTCACCCACACAAACACATGGATCTGCATACCAAACCCAGGAATGTGCCCGGGCACAGATGCACGGGTCTCACGTACCTCCCCAATGCGGGGGGGAGAGGACATCCGGGCAGCAAAGTGGCTTGGGGGACATTTATAAAGGGGAGGCCACATGGCACCTCCCAAGCCAGAGCTTCTTTCTATCTCTGGGTCTAGAGGGAGGCAGGAGAGTGCGTTTTCCTTTGGGTTTGGGTGAAGTTCTGGGAAGGTTGCTGGGTATTGAATGAGCTTTGGTTATAAGAATGATCTCTGAGTACTTTATGGAGTGTGTGTTTGCGGGGGAAGGGGGGACCTGACCCAGCACTAACCAAAGCCCGGGGCCGGGGGGCCAGATGCTGCTCCCAGGAGCCAGGCTGGGCAGCTAGGACACTAGAATCCCCGCTGGCTACTGTGGGAAGCATGGGGGAAACTGTGTGTGCTGAGGACCTCCTTCTGCGCCAGGAAGCTAGAGAGGCAGCCAGGGGAAGAGGTGTCATAGACACTCACAAAGCCCCACTGAGACACCACCACATGAAAGTGCACAACCAGCATTGAGTGCCAATATCACCCACATGGTCTCACAATCACAAAGCGCAGCACAACCCACATTAACAGATGCTTGTGCCCCAGGAAGTTCACAACGTTGTACAAAGAGACAGACCACCACAGAGTGAAGCCCTGACACTAACGTTAGTCACATGCCACTTCATACAGAACCACACACTCAGAGCACGAGTTGCACAAAGAACAGAAACACAGGGTCAAACAACTTCGTTCATGCACTCAGGGTACTACGTAACCACACTCAAACATCTGACGAGATCATACAATCCCACAACCACATACAATCATGCTCGCCCTGGCTGTCACCAAGCCCAGGGCACATGGCAACCAGCTGTGGGAGGCGCACACATGTATATATACTGTTATACACAGACACACACAAAGAATGACAGGCACTCACGCACCTCCCACCAGAGCCCTCCTGCCTTGTGTCATAGGGCCCACACCTGCTGCCTCTCCCCACCTGCCCACCTGCTCTCCCCACCCCCTGCCATTCCCGCTCCCTCCCTCCGCCCTCGGGGGACCCAAGACTTAGAACCTGTGTCCAGGGGAGGTGCTTGGAAATGGGGCAGAGTGTGGGTAAGGGTTTGGCAGGGTCAGAGGCTTCAGGGTTTGGAGGAATGGAATCTACCCTCCCTCCCACGAGCCCCGATCCACCGACTCACCAGTGAGCTGGTCGTAAGATCCGTCCAGGTCTCGGGAATCGGACAAACTCTCCTTGCGACCCTGGCCCCGCATGGCCCCCCGGCGACCCCCTCCCGTCCCTCCTGGGCTGTGGGAGGGGGCGCCGGGCGCCTGGGAGAGGGCGCTCGCACGGCGCCCCCTGGCGGCCAAGCCCTCGGCCGGGGCTGGGGGCCAGGGGAGTCTGGGCTAGGACTGGGTCTGGGGACCGGGCGGGTCTGGAGCCCACCCAGGGGTCCTGGGGCAGGAGCGGGAGGGAGGCTTGGGCAGGAGGTGAGCGCAGAGCCCGAGGCAGAGCGGAGCGGAGCGGAGCGCGGAGGAGCCGGAGCCAGCCGCCTCTCTGCTCCCGCCCCCTCCCCGCGGCTGTCACCACTGCCTCCCCCCTTTGGCGCTGCCCGGATTGGCTCCCCTACCCCCGCCCCCTCCTCTCCGCAGCTCCAGGAGGCACCGGGGGAAGGGGGAGCTGGGAAGTGCCGGGGCAGGGATTGGCTCGCCAGCAACACTACCCCCTAAACCCCAAGCCTGGGTCTTGGGGGTGGAAGAGAGGGCAGGGCCAGAAAGCACCACGGTGAGGAAACTCCGCCCCCAGTGCTCCCCCACTAACCAGCCCTGGGCGCGTAAGTCTCCGTCCGGTGCCGTTAGTCAGTCTCTACGTAGCCCCTATTTTTCTCTGTTGTTCTCTTCCTATTTACAGGTCTCTGTGCCCTCCTCCCCCTGCCCCCGCCAGTGCCCACCGCTTGAAGGGGGCTGGATTCAGAGGGGTCCGCCTGAGAAGGCAGGCTTCCCTCAGGCCAGGGGACTACGGTTTCCTCTTCTCTCTCGGAAGTACCGACCCTCGCCCACTCCAGGACTTTGGGCACGTTCCCTCTCAGGGTGCCTTCTTCCTCATCTAATGACCCCTGTGGGCCAACTGGGGAGAAAAGGAAAAGAAAGTCAAACAGGTCAGCAGAATCCTCAAGACTTTCTTGCTCTTCTGTTTCTTCAACTTTCCTGGCCGTCTCTCTTCTATCACCTGCTCTGTCCTAGATTCCTCGTTTATCCATAAGATTTGGGGGGGGGGGGGGTCAGGGAGGGTGCGGGAAGAGTGGCAACTGAGAGTTTGAGGATCCGGGTGGAGATCCACAGTGGGGAATAAATGCTCTTGATGTGAGCCCCGCTCCCTTCCCAACCCACCCCTGTGAGGATGGAGGGGAGGGGGTGTCTGCTGGGTCTGGATGGCCTGGTGGCAGGGTCCCAGGTCATCCTGCCCGTCCAATGGCTCCTGTGGAGGAGTGACCTGTTTAGACCAAAAGCTTCTGCTAAAATGACCCCAACACATTTAATTTCTTCAATTGGACTTAATTTCTAAGAATTTGATTCAATTAACTCAGCAGGGATTATGGGGGGAGACCAGGCATGAAAAGGGCACAAGCAACCAAAGGAAAGGCTGTCTTTGGGAGCAATGGCCTGCTCCTGGCTCTGGAGGGTCCTCCTGGGCCTGGCCAGACCCTGGGGAGTGGAGAGAGCATGGGCAGCTTGCTTTGGAGTTCAGTTCTGGGAAGGGAGGGAATTCCTGTTTAGATTCTTAGAATAAGGTGTATAGGCCAGAGATGGAAGGGCCTTTACAACGGAATCCTTTATTACTTCATGCCCTTGACTTGCACTTATTCACTTCACAGGAGGAGTCCCTAATGGGCTGGCTGTCCTCCTCAATGCTGAGTTTGGAGATAAGGGGACTTTCTTCTCAACCTTTCCAACCAAAGGACTTCTCTGAACTCAATTTTCTTCTTCTGTGGCCAGGAGACTCCAGAGGAGTCTATAAGGATAGGCACGGACCCCATAGCCAAATGGGACCAGTACCTGGAAGATTACCTTAACTTTGTATTTGAGAAATGAGTTCTGGGTGAGGGATCAAGGAAGAAGAAAGACACTAACACGACTGTCCCATACAAATCAATGTTTAATAATTTCAGCTTGCCACCAGCTTCCAGCTCCAGTTCCATCCACTAAATGCCCCAGGTTGAGCTATCCATCTAGTGAGCAGAGGTGACCCCACTGCTGATCTCTTAATCTACCCTTGTCCATGGCAGCATGCTGGTGGATTCTCTGGTGCTAGTGCTTATCTGCTCAACGCTGGAGGCAGAACCCTGGTGCCAAGGCAGGGGTGGGAAGGCAAGTATCCCTCCCTTGAAGTTTAAGTGGAACGGTAGCCAGAGAGGTCCCTGTACTTACTCCTAGACTCTTGCTGTGCTGCTTGCTCCCTGCCCTCCTGAGGCTTTAGGAAGTGTTTTAGAAGGGGAGGGTCTCAGAGCAGCAGCTACTCAGGAGGCAGCTCTTGGGTAGGTAGTCCTATGGAGGCTGTTCAGAGGAGGAATCACAGGCCAAATTCTCAAATGTCAAGAGTCTTGCCTGTGGCTCCACCCACAATGCGGGCAGACAGAATGGCCTCTCCATGATGCTCACTGGCCTCTTTCGGACGGAGGGTACGGTGCCCCCAGCAGATTCTCTCTGACCTAGGCACCAAACCACATTAGGAACAGATCCCTCCCAGAGGAAATTCTCAGGCAGGCTGGATGTAAACAACAGCCGGCTGAGGGGGTGGGACACGTGGAGGGAGCTAGGCAGAGGCAGGAAGGCTCCGGAGGAGGGGTGGCTGGGGAGGTGGGGAGGTTGCTGGAAAAGGAACCAGCGGAGTAGGCACCTGAGGGCTCCAGAAAACCTGTCAATGTTTATTTCACACAAACATCCTAAAGACAGTTTAAACCGGATTTGAAAATGAAAAGCTAAAGTTGTGGCCCTAAAGTGCTGATGAGTCAATGGTTGGGAGACAGGGGAAAGGTAACAGGTACTCCTGGTACCAAGACTCAAATCCAGAAAGTGAATACTTCCGTCTCCCAGATAAGTCAGCTTTGGATTTAGAAAACCTTACCCTAAGCCTGAGCTAAGACTCCTAGTGACTGGACAGAGTGACAGCGGGACGGGGGAGACAGATTTCAAGTCCAGCTGAGCCCCAGGCCAAAGGAAGCAGAATTGGTTCCACTACATCTGAGAGCTGTCTGTTTTTCAGAAGCCTTGGAAAGCCCTTGATCCTCACGGTACTGGCATCACCCTAAGGCTTGCCCCAACAGCGCCTGAAAATTAGTCAGTAGCCTCAACTTGTAATCGCAATTGGAAATGTGAAGGGATGTCCAGGGAGCCTTCTCTCTGTGCCCACCCACCCCGCCCCAAATAAGATTATCCCTGGCTTGCCCCTTCTGTCCAAGCTCCCCTGAAGCATGGCCTTCACCCAGAGAACTGGGTGTCCGTGTTGTTCTCCAACCTTGGGGACAGCCCCCTCTCCTCTGACTCCCCCTCCAGCCCAGAAGCCTCATGGGTAAGGGCAGTCAGTGGCTGCTCAGGTTGGCGTGGTCTCAGGAGATAGTGGAGAACTCCTTGAGCAGGACTTCCTGGCTGAGTGTGTGGAAGGCCAGGTTTCTCCGGACGTTGGTGCTAATGGATCGAACCTGGGAAAGTGGGGGAGGTAGGAAGGAGGAGGACACAGGCAGAGAGAAAAGAGGAGAGAGTTGTTACAGACAGTAGAGGGCAGTGTTTGAGACACAAGGCCAAGGTTCAGTGCTAGAAGTTTCTCTCAGGAAATAAACCCTTTGTAGCTATCATCCCTGCAGGCAAATGAGCAAACAGCTCGGTGATAGGGAGGAGAAGAGGATCTGAAAACCTAACGTGGTAGAAGCAAGGAAGGACAGGGCAGGCCTTTGTCCTCGCCTCCGCCTTGCACAAGGGTGATGAAGGAGAAACTGATGCTAGTGGACTCACACTCTGGAACTGCCTCCTTTTGAATGCATTTCTAGTCTTCTCACTCTCCCTTTGTATTTATCTCCTTTTTGGGAAGAACGTTTACAGATGCAGGCCTTGTCTGGAATAGATGACAGGGGTATAATCCAAGGAGGATAATGACCAGGATCAGGCCATATGGCTAGTGAGTCCTAGGCCTGGGGCAGAACCCAGGTTTCTTAATTCCTAGTCCAGCACTCTTCCCATACAACAAATATGCGCTCCTACTTTAAAGGAAAGGCTGGAGTGTACCCTTGCTGTGTCTCTCCTGCTCACCTCACATGTTTTCTACCCACAGACCCAGAACCTTACAGGAAGTGGTCCCTGTGTCAGAGGGGAAAAGATCTATGGAAAACGGGTCAGAGGACTCCCTACTCTGAGCGCATTCTAAGAGGAATCTAGTAGACTCGGGAAGGAGATCCATTCATAGGAAATAGATGTGACTGTTGTATGAGAGAAAGGGGGAGGAGGGAGGAAGGAGAAAAAGAGTGTGTAACTCTGCTGGGCCCCACACTCCAGGGAGTTTTCCTTAAATTTCTGCTTTGCTATGGGCAAGATAATGCAGTCACCAGGCTGGGAGCAGAGGAAAAGGCGGTATGGCAAACAGCAAGCAGCTAAAGCTCATTAGCTCCAAACCCTACCCGACTGTCTCTGCTCCCCTGTGCCAGAGGCACAGGTAGAAGGTAGCAGCTAGTGTCAAAGAGCCTTGAGATAGAGCTTCTCTAATGCTCTTCTCCACAATCATCTTCATCCCCCAATAACTTACTTAGTCTCTTTCTTATGTCTTGGACTCCACATCACCTTAAAGACTTGCCAACTACCCCATACAAATACTCTATTTCCTTATACTAAAGGCTTCCCTTTTACCAGCTAACTCAACCCAGAGTATATGTCTTCCTCACCCCGGGAAGTCCGAAATCCTGGAAATGTCAAGTTGGGCTGTGTTTAGTTTAAGACAGATGAGCTAAAATCCAGTATCTTCATCTCAGAATCAGCAAAGAGTAGTAAAAGCTGGGCTGATGCAATTTCTGCCCAGCAGTGGGCGGTCTGAGGACATGGGAAGTAGGTACCGAGGCCCGTGTGTCCTGGTCTCAGCCCCCAGCCGGGAGTTCATGTGCAACCAGGCAGGCGGAGTGGCAGGACTCCAGGGAAGCTGAGCTTTTCCTGAGAGTAGCTCTGAGCTCTGTGCAGGAGAGGGACCATCAACAGGGAGAGGCCAGTTCTGTGAAGAGATGCTGACTGGGAGGTGGAGTAGGAGGCAGAGCAAATGTTCACTGTACCAGGTGGCCATGGATGGAGGCTGTAGGAAGCTGAGTGATTGGAAAGTGGGAGTGGGGACAGAGAGTGAAGACTGGAGAACTAGGTTTGGGGGGGGGGGGGGAGAGACACTCAGACCAGTTAGGAATTTAGGAAGTGACTGCATAAGGAGGAGGAGAATCAATTATTCTCATTAATTGCTCTCTAGACAGGATAAGGAGTAATGAGCCAGAGATGCCACTGGGAACACATGTCAAACCCCAGGCCCAGCTGGAGCTGT